AAGGGAAATAAGGGAAATAAGGGAAATAAGGGAAAAAAGGGAAAAAAGGAAAAAAAGGAAAATAGAGGGAAAAAAGGAAAATAGGAGAAAAGGAAAAAAAGGAAAAACGAAGACTATCTAGATGTCCTCAATTGCCCCTGTTTCTCGAGCCACCTGCATTACCATCTGGATAATTGCATCCACGTCGATAGTTTTGAGAGGTATCTGATGGTCAGCATCCCAGTCATATCTCTGGGTACTGCTGGGCGTACAACAATCATGCAAAACGTGCGTAAAGTCCCTCAACATAGAATCACGAGATCCATAAACATGTACAGTAGGGATGTTCAGTTGGTCATTCGATTGGATTTGAAATTCAGAAGAAGTGTTCATGTTTATGAGGGGGGCTGGCGCGGCGATGAGTAGCGCGAAACGGAAATTTGTGCTAGCAAACCCCCTTTTCTGTTGCTCCTGTTGTCGAAGGAGTAAACTGGCCGCCGTCTGCGCCCCTCGGCTGAACCCCAAAAACCCCACCCAGGGCCCAGTACCGCCAGCCCGGTCGTCTTCATCCATCGCGGACTGGATTGCCTGGTCAATGCTAGCAATGATTCGTGCATCGACCTTGGATGAGCCCGAGTATGAGGCAACTCCAGGAGATGACTCGTCTGGCTCGATAGCTCCTGGCATCCAGTTGCGAAATGGAGCCCATTTGTTGTATACGGCACTTATGCCGGGCCCTGCATGGGTGACGAAAGGGCCCTCAACATAGACAAGACGGAATGAGGCTTCAAGCTTAGCTCGGAGAGCACGGCATTGAATTTTCATGATCTTAGCATTTGTCCCGCCGCCATGAAGACAGAGAATACGGGGATGGTGGATATTATGATATGATTTATTCAACTTGGGAATTGTAGAAGACATAATTGCAGTGATGAAGAGACTGTGGTTAATCTGGAGATATCTGGAAACATATCTACTTTATATTCACTGTCACGTACTGGGGTATCTGAGATTAGATGCCCTCGCGTCTAATTAGAAAGTAATTTTCTAATCCTATACAAATATGTGTTGGGTCTACATTCAGGTTAGCTACTAAATGTGGCTTTTCTACAAATCTGATCGCCTTTTATTGGTATTTTATACACGGTACTTGCGTTCACGGGCATAAAGATAGGTGAAGTGGGTATTATATGCCAAACAATCACAGACTGTGACTGTATTATTTACAATAGAAAAAAGCCACAACCTGCAGCTAACCCGAATATTCACTAGCGTTTCCTGAGGATAGAGTTGGAGGATTATTCTCTGAGGGGACAGGGGGGGCCTGGCTTCATATATGGCAGCCAGGAAACTAATTCATTCATGAATGCGTGGCGTTGTCCGAGCACACACCCGACGTGTGGGCTACTTTGTGGAGCTCAGGCTTTATCGAGAGTTTCATTGTGGCTTGAACTACAGAGCTAGCCAAAATAAGTTGAGCCTATCTCACATATTAGCGTTTTCTATTATCATTGTAGAAATTAGGGAATTTTTGTTTTTTAAAAAAACTTCGCCAGTGTAGATACGGTGGAGATACAAATAAATCGATGTATTCATATATAACACGCCTGGGTGGCGAATAGACAGTCATTTAAGGCTTCGAAATCGCGCCTGACATACCTCACCGAGCCGTCTCTCCTCTAAGTGGTTTTATTGATTACTTTTGCATTTACCTTTTCGATTAACATCCAACAATAACTGATTTATTTCTCAATTGCCCTAAGATGGAATCACAACAACTCCGTGAGCTGTTAGATGCTCGAGGTAACACTATTCTGGCCTTCGGTCCACAAATCCAATCATTGGATAAATCAGTCGTTTTGAGCACTCGTTCCGGTATTGACAAGGGTCTCAACTTCTTCAACCATGCGTTAGACGACCTCGCGGTCTACTGGGACTCATTAGTTGCCAAGATTCCTGAGATTGAGCGAGTATTTCCAGAACGAAAACTCATCAAGGATCTAAATCGCTTCATGCGACATGGACTGTACGAGGAAGGGCTATGGAAATACGTCAGTACCTCGGCCTGTGTGGCGTATATCGCACAAATTATACAGCATTGGCAATACTTGCAGATGGCAAACGAAGGTCATGGTCGATCAACAGACCCCCAAGCGTCTTGGATAGCACAACGTAAGGAGAACGAGACAGCCTGCTTAGGCTTCTGTGGTGGCCTCGTCCCTGCTTGTGTTGTTGCCAGTTCTCACAACATGGTCGAGCTTGAACAAAACGCGGTGGTTGGTTTAAGGATTCTTGTGTTGATGGGTGTTATCGCCGACATTGACGAGGAACTGAATGGAAATGCCTATGCATTTGCTACCATCTGCCGTGGAGATGAGGCGCAGAAAGGATTGCGTCGCATTATTGAGAAACACTCGCCTCATGTTCATATGCAAGCTACCTTTGATATTGGGTGTGCTACCGTATGTGTTCCGGAGGCGGTTGAGTCCGCATTCTTGGATGAAGCCCGGGATGCTGGCGTCAAGTGCATCAAGCTGGGTGTTCATGGTCGGGCTCATGATGTCAGTGCAGAGGGAGAGCGAAAAACCAGGATCATGCTACAGCTGTGTGAAGAGTTGCCTGGGCTTCGTCTACCAGACGCCTCGCAATCAGCAATCCCAGTATACAGCAACATTGATTCCGAGGCTCCCCTCACCCAAGGCAGTCTACATGAGATGGCAATCAGGGGCATCCTTAGTTTACCTTGCGACTGGTACAGCATATTTGTGAATGTGTGGGCTCGTCTTGATGATCCGTATGTGATCTCTTATGGACTGGAGCAATGCGTGCCTCGATCTTTGCTTTTTGGTATCAGATCTAAAGTCCTACATTTGGCAGACGTAAAGCCTCCAGCTCCCCTTCCACAGCCCCCATACCCTAACGAAGAGATGATCGCTATCGTTGGCATGGCTATCAAAACTGCCGGAGCAGATGACGTGGACGA